AAAAAAAAAAACGAATTAGCAACGATTTAACCTGGGAAATTCAGCACCGGAATTAACTCAATTGCCAAAAACACTTGATAATTCACCGGTAAATCGAGTGCTCCACATTTCCTTTGTTATTCGGTGCATAAACACGATAAATTCCACTGGAAATTCCGCATCCACTCCGATTGTTATGTCCAACATAAGTAAATTCGGTCGATAATGAGTTTCACAATCTCGGTTAACATTTGTGTCAATCAATACAGGTATTCGAATTACAGAATATATGGTGCGTACTAGATTTCGATTTAATAATAATAATAATAATAATTTATATGATGTACGGTGAATCCCTCACCGCCAGGCAGCTAACCGGTAACTGAATATTCCGATTGATGTCCTGATAACTTGGAATCCAGTGGATTTACAAGAAAATGTTTGAGAGATTTTTTCTGCATTATTTCTCGCTCTACAAAAAAGCTCCTCTAACCTTCTTTCTGCACCCAACAGCATTCAAGATATTTCTCAAAAACTCAATACCCGTTTTTCTCGGAAAACCAAAATATCGGTTAATCATCGATAACTCGATATCGGTTGAGTGAAATTAAAAAAACATTGTGTCATGTTAAATAATTTCACAGGACACATGTACCCTCCAAAATCAATTCCAATCAAGTCCCCCCCCTCCCCCCAATTCACCCCCAACAATCATCAAATCTCCATTACACCTGTGATGATCTCCATAAAATTGATACAAATCCCTTGCTGAAACCCCCGCAATATTTTTTAATCGACTTTATATTGACACTGAGCCCTCCATTGTTCCAGAAATTCCCATAATGGAAGTAATGGCTGTATATAGCGAATAAACAAACAAACTAGCGATGGAGGACGACCGCGTATAAATTATAATTCCGAATGTTACGGACAATGGGAGTAATTTTCAGTGGTGAATGTCGTGTGTGGAGGATTTTGTGAGGTTCACCCCCAACTGTGACCTCCCCATACCCCAGCCCACCCTCTTCACCCCCATTTCACCCTAAAAACCCCTGTTTATGTGTTCGCTTTCGGATTGTATGGGTTTTCCGTGTTTGTCGGCCTGTCCCTGTTTGCCCATGATTCCTTGCTTTCCTTGGTTGTATATTCGGCTTGCAATGAGGATACAGCTGAGGTTTTTGTTGTTCCATTGAGATTTCAATCGAGTGAAAAATTGGGAAATTGTTATTGCTCCAGCGCCATTCCCTCGACATTCTCCCACGATTAATTGCCCCTGAAGAATTCGACCAAATACCTATTATCTTAAATATAAACAATAAAATTTTATTGAAAATATATTTATCACGGAATTTTTTCAGATTGAAAATTCCCAGCGCCTCGATTTTCCTCCGGAAATATTGAGCATTATACTTCAAAGAAAAACAATACTTTCCGCTAGATCCAGTGGTCCTCCAAAAAAACAATCCGAGTTATTTTTCCATGAGAATAAACTCTCGTAAAAACACCGATAAAAGAAGAAAATATCTGATAACTGACGTTCCGAGAACTAGTCGGTTGTTTCCCTCGTCTTCCATTATATTTCTTCTCCGACAAAAAATGGAGTGAGCAGAATATCCGGAAAAACCAATGGAAACACCAGTCGATATTATGAACTTGGAGACAGAGAGTAGTACACCGGGGAAATCTCGGAAAAATCTTTATTTTCAAATGTATGAATTTTCTGAGGAAAAGTATCTAACGATTTGAAATACCCCGCTGTATTTATCTCAGCGAATAGAATTCGCAGTTGCAATTTTTATCGAGTGATAAATGCCGAAATGAGGGCTGGGGGGATAATACGAAGATTTGAATGCAGGGAAAATGATGGGGAAATTATCTCTGGGCTTTGCCGAGTTTAAACAGTGGCTTCACACGAGAGCTTTCACGGAGTTTAATTCAAAATGTAACGATAAGGCACTGGGTAATTTCTACCGTTTGCCCAGTGTTTCTTGTTTGAAATGGGGTGAAAATTTTATCGCCAAGGGGATAAATGCACAATACACGCGTTGAGTTTTCAGGATTTTTCATTCGAGGCAAAAAAAAATTATCGCTCTTTCAAGAGTTGAGTCCCATGTTCCATGTTTTTCCATTGAATAAACTCAAGATTTTTTTTTATTGTGATAAGCCTGCGAAACCTGTCCCATTCATTGATTTTTAAAATATAATTATAATTTATTTTTTAAATGACATTTGAGAAAAATTTAATCCGAAAAAATGTAATTTTTTTTATTTTAATCGAAAGGTAAAATTCAATTTAATGAATAATCATAATTATTGTAATTTTAAAATGAAAATGAATTTTCTCGGGAGAAAATGTGTATTAAATCTCGATGATTTTTCCAGAGGATATCACGGGGATGGATATCCATTCGACGGAAGAGGTCAGATCCTGGCGCACGCATTTTTCCCAGGACGAGACCGAGGAGGAGACGCTCACTTCGACGAGGAGGAGATCTGGCTCCTGGACAACGACAGCAACGAGGAAGGCAAGTGTCTCCATTTATTCCATTGAAATTTCTCCCCTCTCTCCCCTGAAATGAGGGGATTCCCCTCAGGAAAATGTAATTCCACGATGGAAAACCCCCGAGACGTCATCGAGAAACGATTACGCCATTTCCCCAGCCCCTGTATAAACAGCAAAACATTCATCGAGGCTGCGAAGCCGAGAGAACGACCTGCAGTTGAAAACTTTTGTATAATGCAACAAACACCCAGCCCCAATGCCATTTTCCATTGAAAAAGTTGACTCGATTCCGACGATAAAAATAGAGAAAACCCATCAGAATATTTCTGAATATTCCTGAATATTCCTGAGGAAAAAAAAAATAAATGTGAGAGTCACTTGAGAGCTGCGCCATTTGGAAGATCGTCGAAATTTCCGATGAAGTGGAAGAGAAAGTAAAAAAAAAATTTGTCTCGGTTTCTTGGAGACGCAGGCAATTGGTGACATGTAGAATTTTTCACTTTTCCGGTGGAAGCCTCTGGCAAATGGTGATGTTGAGATAAATTTTCAAGGGTGATGAGGGAGGAGGGATGGAGACGAGTGGAAATCAGATATTAGTTATCGTGTGCAATCATTGGTGTCTTCAGAGAGCGAGTGTATTCCAGTCGATGGTAGCGATGGTATTATGAAAATCAGTGGAGCATTGAAATCACTCGTGAATGATAGCGTTATTAAAATTATTCATCAATCGATGAATATCGATAAATAAAATGGGGCAGCAGTCGATGGAGACAATGAGAAAATAAAAACGGACATGCACTGGCACTGAATCAGTCTTGAATCATTGCAAAATTATTTTCATTCGACTCCCATCAATATCCGAAAAGATTAAAATTACTCCTCAGCATTAAAAAAAATCTGACAAACCAATCAACCATCGGAATCACCAATTAACAAATTCATCTGATGATTCGTTATCATCACCCCATTGGCCCTCAAATATATTGTTTTTTTTTTCATTCCTGGATATATCGAGCCCCAAACATGCGGTTGTGGATCTGAAAGTTCAATTTTATATTTAAAGAAACGTAAAATGTTATTCCCACCTGACATTTCCATGCACCGAGCCAATTCCAGTCGTCTGAGGACTTGATACCCGGGGGAAAATCACGATTGGATGGCTATTGTATCGTGAAAGGCATCGGAATGTTATTTATTTTCCTTTTTTTTCTATTATTGAATAAAAATCGTCGGGCACACTCTC